CATATAACACAATTTGTAATGCATAGATCGCGAGTTTTGTTTTTTTTTAGCTGTCTCCGGTGGCGACAACATGTCACGAGGCGACCTCTTCATCATCAGTCTGCTCGTGTTAACGACCAAGGCGACTACAGAGACAAGCGACCTCGATGATCCTCTGCAGCGAAACTCTGTGTTGCAGCTGATAGAAATCCGCTGTTAACCCTGTTAATACCCTTATTAGGTATTTTACTGTGTGTTTGTATTGGTGGTTGTATTTTGAACACAGTTAAATGCCGAGTAATGATGCTGTCAACCTTCGTATATACCCAACTGTCTAATGTAGATGAAGGAGAAGCAGAACTTGAAGGCATTTGATCTGGCATTTGGTCAAGGGGACATGTCTGAGTAGAAAAGGTGACCAAACACTCAGCCCACATGCCAGACCAATGCAGAACATGAGAGCAGGTCATGTTCAGCGTGTGAAGAGCTCATGGTCATGAGGCTGACCAGCTCGTGATCAGACAGCCTTAACAAATCAGGAGCTGCAGGAGAAGCGTGACTGCCTGGCCAGCAGACACACTCTTTTAACTGTAAATCAGCAGCCTCCTCTGATTGGCTGAAGAGTTTATAAAAGGGACAGCGCGCTAAAGCGCAGGGTCCCGGGTTCCACACAAGCCCTCGGATAGGACTGATCACCCTGTCCAGGAATCCGTGTCCCCATGGACGAATAGTCATATGAATAGTCATACGCATACGAATAGTCACACCCTGGCTATTATTTCACCGAACAGTGAGCTCTCCATCCGCACGTACATCGGAAAAAGCAATTGCTATCTCCTACCTGTCATCTTTAACTACGGCTTCACCACTGTCGTTTTGTTGTGTAACCACTGTTGAAATCTTACTGTAAGTAAACGTTAAGTTCAATTTTACTATCTTCCAACTGAGTCAGTGTCCCTTTCATCCCGGGCCTGTCCATAAGGCGGGTTGGTCATCCACCCGCCCCCCGGTTCAACTGGTAAACCGCCTGGTGAGTGCTGCGGTTACTAACAAGCATTAGATGTCAATGTTCTTGCATAGACAAGCCCTTATGAAATCAGATTCAAGCTTCTGTTCTTCATCTTCAAAGTTTTATGTAAACCTGCCTTTACCTACTTCTCTACTCTTTTCTTCTTTATTTGTCCCTCCTTTGGTACACTTCTTGCAGTCCTCTCATTTTAATTCCCCTTTAGTTTCTTTTTCCTGGTTCTCACAGTGCCATTCCTATGAGTGGACAAATACCTCTGCCTTCAATTCCTTCCAGGAACTTCCCTCCAATCCATTCTTCCAGGAACTACTCCTTCTTCCTCCTCTTCATTAGTATCTTCCATCTTACCTTCTTTCAAGTGTGATTCTGATTCTTGCTTTTAAATCTTGTCTATATTAGGTGTTTTCCTCACTGTAAACTGTAAATCAAGTGTCACCTTAACTTGAACCCAATCCACCTACTTTAAACTTGAGTTACCTATTTGAGAGCGCAAATAGACTAAACCTTGAATGAGCACAATTCATGTAGCTGCCAAACAGCTTCTCACAAGTCCCACTGCATGCCCAGAAAGGAGAGTTTTCCAACAGTTCATAGTACATATCAACTTACCAAAGCACTAAGAAACATGGGATATGCCTGTATAAGCATAATGCAATAAATAAATGAATATAGTTATCAATGCAGATGCAGCGACTCGAGTGTTATTTCAGTGTAAGAATTCCAACTTAGCATGTTAACACTTAGCATTCCAATTTAGCATGTTAATTTCTCCCTTTAATTCTGAGCTTATGCAAAACTAAGAACTAGCAGTTTTTCTAGATGCATAAGCCCAAACCCTGCATGGACTGTAAGTAATCTGTGATCCTTAAAAAACCGTAAGTGATAAAAGTTTTCAAACCTCATTGGTTTCCATCAATTTGCAGGCACTCCTCGGACTTATGATACGATTGGTTCCTGAAAACTGTCTTAAGCTGAAACGTTGTAACTCAGAACCAATTTTCCCATAGGAACAACTTTACAAATGGGGGATTGGTTCCTGAACCAAGGCCCAATACCCTATTTTCACCAAAAATAACCCAGAATGTTGTACTCAGTCAATTATAGATGAGTAATATAGCTACATTATATATAGCTACATTCATGTATTTAAATTGTAAATAGCAATCATATTGATTTGGAAGGACTTCTTTGAAGAGACTTTGCTGGACTTTTTGAAGGGCTCTTGGTTGGACTGAGTCTTGGCTGCAAGTTTTCCTGGAGTCTTGTCTGCTTTCTTAAAGAAAGTGTCCAAGTCCCTGATCTCTAGATACTGCTGGATAATAGAGATCAGAGACTAAACATAGACATTGGATTTTTGATACATTATAATCTGCCTGGCAACTGACTCCCCAGCCCAGCCCAGCCCAGACCCTGGCTTGTTTACTTTTCATTCCATCCAGGAAGAGCACACACCGACTGCTGCAGCTTCCTGAGCCTGATGAAGGGTTTTTGAACCTGAAAGCTTGCTTAATAACTATTCTCCAACCATTTGGGTTGGTCTAATAAAAGATATCAAATTCACCCAAGGAACCTTGTCTGCCTAAAACTGACGTCAGGAAGTCGAAACAGGGTGTCAATTTATGACCGTTGTAAGTGCTGTTTGTTGTAACTCCAAATGTCTTAAGTCAAGGACTGCCTGCATATGTTAAATTTTTCACAAATTAAAAAAAAAAACCACCCTAGACATTGAAGAAAAAAGGAAATTGAGAGTCCTCTTATATATTCCCCAAATCCCAAGAGACAGGTTTTTACGAGACTTCAAAATATCTCAGTTGGCATTTATGGCAGACTTTTTGTTGTGGTGAATACCTTTCAAGCCCAGAAACTGTAATGAGCAGCTGTTTAAAAATACAATAGGGCATTTGAAGACATAAAAACAAGGACATGTCACGGGCCGGATTGCAGGGCAGAGAGGGATGCAATGGGGCACGTGCCTCTGCCACACAACTGAAAAGTCTCCCGCTGAACCCCTCGGAGGCCGCCCCTTGTCGGGCTGAGGCGGCAGGCAAGGAGGAGGCCCCCAGGCGAGATCGCTCCAGGAGCCCAGTAGTCCAGCGCGAAATCCCGGCGGGCTCCCTGGGCCGATGTCGGAGGAGGGGAAGGGTCTGACTCGGGGGGTTGCAGCGGCCCCGGCGAGGGGGTGGAGCCGGCTGGCGGCCCGGACTTAGCCCGGCAGGAGTGGGGGCAGCCGCGCGCACCACGGCGCAGCCTGGGCAGGTGCCCGCCAGGGGGAACTGCGCGCTCCCTCCCCGGGCT